AAGAATAGAAATAATATAAAAAATAAATGAGGTGATTATTGATTCAATTCAATTTTAAACAAAGAATTAACATTGGATATTAAGACAAACCATAAATTATTATGGTTAAAAAGGAAAAATTATTGTTAGAAAAGAAGCAAATATAATAATAATAGAGTACAAAAATGAGAAAAATATTTGAGATTAAAAAATCAATTTAATTAAAAGTTTTAAAATAACCTCATCTTTCATCAATAATCCATTTTTTTGAACTATAAGCAGTACTAGTCATTAATAAGTCTCAAAAAAAAAAGATGCATCCCCTTATTCATTTATTATTGTTAAATTTTAAATAAGTTACTAAAAATTGAAACATTTAAGAAAATATAAATCTAACAATAAGCATTTGTTTTTTTAGTTTTTTTTTTTCGTTATTTAGATATTTACAGAAATGATGGACAGTTATTGGTTACCTCCAGTATCCTCCAATTCCCTTCCCGTGAAAACTAAACCAAGATCAAATACTATTCAGTTATCTACTTTCAATAATCCAACTCGGCAAAAGAAAGTTGTTCCTTTAGTTAGTAAAACTGAAAGTAAATTTTTTCATTCAAGTTCAGCTACAGTTCTAGAAAAAAAGACGATTACTCAGTCTGAAACTAAAGTCAATCCATCAACTCGGCGTCCCTTACCAAGTCTTCCTCCTAATTATTCACAACAACCAATTGGAATAGCTAAAAAGACAAACAACCAACAAACATCAAGTGATGAGATAAACTTAAGAGTTCTCTCAGTTAAACAACCTAATGACCTTCCAAACCAATTAGAATTCATGTTGTCAAAACAACGTACAATCTTAGGAATAGATGACAAACGAAAGAAACCTATCAAAACGTCTAAAATGGCTAAAACACTTAAACCTATTAATTCTTCAGAACATACACAAACATCTGAAATACCATATGAAGAATCTCGTTTAGCAAAAAGAAAGGTATCAGTTTTAAGTGACCAAGAAAAAAAGGCTATTTCATTGCTAGCTAATGGAATATCTGGACTTGGTAAAAGTGGAATTCATGGAAATAATAATGATATTGTTGAACGTGAATATCTTTGTATTAATCAAAGTACTAAACCAATATTAATATCTAAAGATATGATGAACGTTGAAGATACAGTTGAAATACGAAATTTTCTTCAAATATCAGAACTTGCTTTACATCAAATGAATGGAGAAGTATTACCTTATAATTACATCGAAGCAGAGACTAGTTGTGGTGGATTAACCCAACCAGTTATACTTACTATTAACACATCATTTTCACAGTATAAAATATCATTTAAGTGTATGACAAATTTAAAATGGGTAGAAATTAAAAAAATGATTGAAAAAGGAATTAACACAAAAGCATCAACAAGATTACCAATAAAAATTTCAAATCATAAATTAGTTATTGCAGGAACTCGACTTTATTTTCAAGAACAAAAAGAGATGAGAGAATATTCTATTATAAATGATATTAGTAGAAGAGAGAAAATAATAAACATTGAACTAATTAATCAAATTCAATTTAAGGAAGAAATTAATCAAATTCAATTAAAACATCAAAATCTTTTATTAAAAGAGAAAAAGAAATGTAAAGCAAGTAATTTTAGTGATGAAATATTATCATTTACAATATATGAATTATTAAATTTTGATCCTGAAATTGTATTTAAAAAATTTTTTGATGAAAGTGAAATAACTAATTGTATTAAAAATTATTTTGAAACTCGTTCATTTGAAAAATATAAAATTATATTAAAAGTAAGTTGTTGTTTATATATGGGAACAGATAAATTATGTAATAAAGAATATTTTACTTCTGATGTAATTAATACTATATTTGATTGTAAAATTATGACTGACTTTTCTTATTCTATGTTACCTTTAGAAACACGTCTTGGAATTACTTTATATGCAATTAGAAAAGGAAAGAAAGTGGTTATAGGATTTGTAAATACTCCTTTGTTTGATTTTCAAAATTTTTTATTATCTGGATATGTCAACTTAAAACTTTGGCCTGATGAAGAATCTGATGCAGTCTCAAGTCCTTTACAAAATCCTTCTTCTACTGCTCCAATTATTTCAATTAAATTTCCTGATCCTGTTATAAAAATATTTTATCAACCATATGAAGCTAAATACCCTCAAATACCAAAAAATTTACTCAAAATCTCTAACGATGTTCAACAATTGGCTTTACATAATGACCCATTTCAACCATTAACTAATGAACAAAAAAATGAGATATGGCAAAATAGATTTAATATTCTTATCCAATTTCCTGATTCTATAGATTTATTATTACGAGCAGTTCCTTGGACAGATTATAAAGCACGAGAAGAAATGGCTGATTTGATTAAAATATGGCCTGGAATTAGTCCTATTCAAGTAATCGGATTATTAGATGTTCGTAATTCATTTACACCAGCAAGGGATTATGCTGTTCGTTTATTAGAAGAAACTAATGATAAAGTGATTCTTGGATATTTGCCACAATTTATTCAAGTTTTAAAATTTGAATCATATACATGTTCATCATTAGCATTATTTTTATTAAAACGAGCATTAAAAAATAGAGGAGATATGGGACAATTATTTTATTGGTTATTAGTTGGTGAGAATGAAAAGACAAAAATAAGTTTACGGTCTAAAATATTACTTGAAGTATATAATTCAATGTGCGGTATCCAATTAAAAGAATTAAAAACACAAGAAAACTTTATTAAAATTATTGAAGAAACAGCGGTTAATGCTAAACATTGGAAAGATGATGAAGTTAAAACTAATTTACCAAATATGCTTACAGTTGTAAATAATGCATTAGAAGGAAGTAGATTAACATTACCATTTACTTCAAGAGAAACTGTTAGTTGTGTTGTTATTAATAAATGTAAAGTATTTGATAGTAATGCACATCCTATATTATTATGTTTTCAATCATCACCAATTTTTTCACAACAAGAAACACGATTTATTTTTAAAGTTGGAGATAACTTAATGCAAGATATGTTAACTCTACAAATGTTTAAATTAATGGATGATTTATGGAAAAAAAATGGAATTGATTTTAGAATGACTATTTATAATGTTCTTGCAACTTCAACAACATCAGGAATTATTCAATTTGTACCAAATTGTGAAACTGTTAATAGTATTCAAACAAAAGGAAGAGGAATTACAGGAGTATTTGATGATGCATGTATTTATGAGTGGATAAAAAGTAAAAATTTAGAAGAAGAAGATTTAAAAAATGCAATTGAAAATTTTACATATTCATGTGCAGGGTATTGTGTTGCTACATATGTCATTGGAGTAGGAGATAGACATAATGATAATATTATGGTATCTAAAGATGGTCATTTATTTCATATTGATTTTGGGCATTTCTTAGGAAATATTATTAAATTAGGATTTTACAATAAAGAATCTGCTCCGTTTGTATTAACTAATGATTTTATGTTTGTTATTACAATGGGAAATACTGACACTGATAATTACTCATTTTTTGAAAATATTTGTACTAAAGGATTTATGATCCTTAGAAATAATGCAAAAACATTTATTTATTCATTTATGATGATGTTATGTAGTGGAGTTCCACAACTAAAACATGTTGAAGATGTTCAATACTTAAAAGATGCATTTATGTTAGATAAAACAGATGATGAAGCAGAACAAGAATTTAGATCATTAATTTCACAAAGTTTAGGAACCTTTAGAACACGACTAAATTTCTTCATGCATTCAATGGTTCACTAGTTCATACATTGTTTTATAATCAATTTCTTTTTTATATTTAAAGAAAAGGAACAAATCAATAAATTATATCTTAATCTAATATCACTTCATTCTTTTTATCTACTCTATATTTCATAATAAAGAATATAAATAATACTATTGATATTATTAAAATAACTCCTACTATTGCTATTGGAATAAACCAACGATTTTCTTCTCTTAATACTACTTGACTTGCTTGACAATAATTTCTTTGATCATAACCAGTAAAATAACTTCTCATAAGAGCAATATAATCTCCTCCTTTTTTATGACACATCTCAACATTTGGAATTAATGAAACAACTTTTGATTTATTCAATGGTGGGTAAAAAACATTAACACTAAAAAGATATTGTCCTCCTGAGACATAAGGTACTTGAACTCCTTTAAATAAGAATAGTCCATCAGATATACAATTATTATAAAATCCTTCATCATGATAAATGACTGATAAATTTAAATTTTGTCCAAAAATAACTTGTTGACTTCCAATAATCATTGGAATATTTGGATGATGAATAGTTAAATTACCGTCTAACATAATTACTGGTGCTTGAACAATTGAAACACTACCTGAGGCACTTGTTAATTTAGGTTGTGTAAAATTAATTATAACATTTTCTTCAATTTCTGTTGTTCCAGTAAGTTGAACCATACCATCAGGTATTTCAATAAAAGAATTCTTTTTAATAAGAAGTTGGGTTGCTACTAATGTATTTGTTTTTAACTTTTTAGTAATTGTGATGTTTGTACCTATAATTTGATCTGCTATTAGTTCCCCAACAACTAATGATCCATTTGTTACAACTACATTTTCTATAGTTACTGGGTCATCAATAATAACATCAGATATTGTTGCTAAATTTTTTAAGTAAAATGTCCCTTTAAAATGAGTTGGTGCAATAGAAACAAATGAACCATTTATACCATTATTATTATTAATAGTAGTTTCATTGACAAATATAACTGGACGAATATATGGTTCAATGTCACATTTCATTGATACACTCGTTCCAAGAATTATTTGGTTAAAGTCTTCAAATTGTTGTGTTAATGTATTGTATTGACATCCCTTATTAACTACATTACAAATACTTGTTTCGTTTGTCATAATTAAATTAAATTGGGTTAACCCTCTTTGAAAAACTGCATTACATTGATTACAAATACTTTTACATGTACCTCCAGGTAAACGACGTAGTAACGAATTTGTGACATTAAATGTCATAACTACTTTAACTTTCTCTCCAGAAAAAGAAAAAGCAGGTAACACATTAAACATTGAAATTCCAACAAATATTTGTGGACGTATATTATTCATTGTAAGAATATCATTCATAATAAATAGTGTTGAAGTTGAAGAAACTATTTTATTTACAACAATTGGCATATTAACATGAACTTCATTTGGTTGATAAATATTAACTTTATACTCTGCCCCAATGTTATTTCCTAATACATACAATTTATCAATATTAACATGTGTATTAAACCATATGTTTGTTGCCCTAAGATCATTAATTGTTATTGTAGAACCAGAAAGTGTCAAGTTTACTGCATTAATACGTTTAACAAAGATTTCATTCTGTGCATTAACTTCAGCATTATCCTTTAAATAATATTCAGTAGCATTCATTGTAGCATAAATTATATCATTTGTAACATCAGTATAATCAATGACACAATCTCCTTTGCAGTCACAGTCTACTACTGTTCCATCACTATTTGCCACACACGTTAATCCATTGCTATAAATTATCAATAATGTGGTTAATATTATGCTTTTCATTCCTTTATTTTTTATTGATTTTCTTTTTAAACCCTTTCTTATTTTTTTTTCTGTAATATCCAATCTTTTTTACTAAGATACATATTCAACGATATAATTTTTTTATGTTTTTAAAAACAAAAAATAATGAATTAAAAATCTAAAAATATAAATTTCTAACCAAATAAAAACATAGAAAAATCTCCAAATTTAATAACGTTGAAGAAAACTGACAAATATAGTGTTTTTAATGGAGCCTTCTCTCTCAACACTTCCTCTTTTTGATGCTGAAGAACTAACGTGGTATGTCAAATATTTTCAGAGTGATATTAAGAAATCTCTCTGTTTATGTAATGAGATTACAAAAATTATTAATCCAGAAAAAGAGTCAAGTCATCAGGAGTATATGACATTTATTTTTCCGTTTGTTTTTATGTCATATTATTAATAAATTGTTATAGAAAATTAATCTATTTAAAAGAGAAGGTTTTCAAGGGAGTATTGTTTTAAATGGGACTGAATGTGCAGGATCAGTTTGTTAATTATCATTTATAAATCTTTTAAAATTACAGGCAGTTTGTTCTTTTTTATTAACCTTTTAATTTATTTCTGTAGAGAATAACAGTTGATTGTAAAGAATGGACTTCTAAACAAGAAAGTTTCGATGTTGTAGATTGTCCTCTTCGACAGTTATATAAAATTCTTCAATACCTTGGGACTATTGAGTCTAATTTAAAAGGACTTGAAACTATGAATTTTGACATAATAAAAAACAGTTGTGATAATATCTGCACAGCAATTGAATTGGCTATCCAATCACTCCTTCATCCTCCTTCATTACTCTTTCCTGATACCCCAACTCATACTTTTTTTCAATTCCCTCATCCTCATATGACAGCAGAAATATATGTACAACAAGCAGAAATTATCCTCCATCTTTTTCTCCTTGATTCAGTAGATTCTGACCATCCATCAGAAGCATTGGCAGATGGTATAGTATTAGAAAATACAAAAATTACTCAAAGAAACAAAGTATTGAAAGCTTATTTACTTGAATCAAAATATTATTGGATAAAAAATGAAATGGAAATTCATTTAGAAAGTGAACATTTAAAACATTTACTTTCAATACTCACTTCTTTACAACAAATATGGAATGTTCATAGTCATAATATTAATCAGTTCATAAATTAATTATTATTTGTATTTTACTTATTTATTTTATTATAACATTTATTTAAAACAATAAAAATTAAGTTAAATTCCTAAACAGTTCCGAATATCCGGCAATTCAATTACTTGTTAAGAACGATTCCTTCATAAGTTTCTTTGAACCAATTAATGGCATCTTCTTTAGTTAAAAGATGATCTCTTCCAATCTTATCTTGCATTCTTTTTCTTCGAGAAACTCTGAATCCTGGTCTAGCAAGAACAACAAAGAAATCCATACCATAAATTCCAACTTGTGGATCATATTTTAATCCAAGATCAATATTGTTCTTCAATACCAAATCCAAAATTACCAGTGGCTGAGAAATTGTTGGCTTTAAGTTCAAATTCCTTAACTTTCAATCCTTTTTCAAGAATTTCAGCAGCTTTAGCTCCTCTAACTGTAACATGGCATGCAATTTGATCATTTCTTCTAATAGAGAAAGCACGGACAGTGTATCTAGCCTACTGAAAGAACTGGTGTTTGTCCAGTTAAAGTTTCAAGGACTTTAGCAGCACGAGTTATCTATCTCCAGACTCACCAACTGAAATGTTAAGGACAAGTTTGTCAATCTTAATCTTTCTCATAACATCAGACTTCTTAGCTGCCATTTCTTCTGCCACAAGGGTTACCTTATTTTTTAAGTTTCTTTTTTAAGGGTTCCAAGTTTCTTCTCATTTTTAACTATATTCATTAATTCTTTTGTATATTTTTTTAAATTATATTATATAACAAAAATTTATATAACAAAAAATATTCAGAACATAAAATATTTATTAAAAAGGAAAAAATACTTTGGATCTTAAAATTATCTTTTGACATGAGCAACCCATTCTTAGACGAACCTCAATCTAATACGAATCCTTTTGTATCTGACACCCCTCCTTCTACTTCAAATAATCCATTCAGTGAACAGTCTAGTTCTCTTACAAATAATACTAATCCTTTCATTACAAACGATAACCCAACTGTTTCAAAAAATCCAAAAGTTACTTCTACTAATCCTTTTGGTGAATCAACAACAACAGATAATACTAACCCTTTCTTAACTAACGATATTCCTATTCAGTCAAAAAGTCCTCGTTCAAAGCCTACCTCATCAAATCCATTTATTGACTCTGAACCTTCTTTAGAAAACAATAATCCTTTCTTAACTAATGACACTCCTGTTCCTGCTAAAAGTCCTAAAACAGTTTCACACTCTCAAACTAATACAGTTTCTACAAATCCTTTTGGTGAACCAACAACACCCCAAGTTGATAATACAAATCCTTTCCTAACAAATGACAAACCAACAGTTTCTAAAAGCCCAAGAACAATTATGCAAGTTAGTTCAAATAACCCTTTTAAAGACTCATCATCTACAATGGCAGATTCTACAAATCCATTTGGAGATTCATCAACACTAGATAACCCAGCAACTGAGGTTACTCAAACACAAGAATCTCACTCTTCTAAAAAAACTTCATTTGCTAACACTCAATTTGAAGATGAACCACCTAAAATGACAAGTTCTACAACAAGGCTATCATCAAACAATCCATTTGGTGAACCTGAATCAACATATTCCAATCCATTTAAATCCTCAGAAGTCCCTGTTAAATCAAAAACACCAAACCCAAGTTCAACTAATCCATTTGGAGATGAACCACCAAGGTTAACTTCTTCTACATCTAAACAAAGTTCAACTAACTTATTTAAAGATCAACCCCCTAGAATCTCTATTACACCTAAGCCTACATCAAATAATCCATTTGGAGAACCTAATTCATCGATTAATAGTAATAATCCATTTGGCCAACCTGAAACTGCACCAGCAATTAAAGGAACTAGACCATCTTTCCCTAAGCCTAAAGCAGTTGGAAATCAAATACAAGGAATTGATATAGATGAAATAGAAAGTAGTTGGTTAGATAAATCAACACATGACATTTCTTATAGAGGAATAACTATAAAAAATATTTGTGCTGCAAAAGGAACTGTGTTGATTCTTGGAAAAGAGAAACACTTTTTATTAAAAAAACTCACATTTAATTTAATCAAAGATATATCAGAACATAGTATTATTAAAGGAGCTATTGATCCAACAGGAAATCATCTATTATTGTATACATTAAATGGGGAGTTATATTATACAAGCAAAGATCTTATTTCAGCAACAAAAATTAAAATTCCTAACTTAACTGATGGAACTACTAATGACATTATTACTGCTATAAAATTTAATAGTAATAGTACAAGTAACGAAAAAGAACTTAAAGTATTACTATCTACATTAAACAGAGTAATAATTAAATTAGTTATTGATTTAAATACATTTAAATCAAACTCAGAGATATTGTATGCTAATAACAATAAAATTGGTGGAGAAATGTCACCATTTAATGGATTAGATTGGATTGAAACACCAGTTAATACCATTATTTTGGCGTCATCACCAACATCTTTACAAAAGATTGTAATTAATAAGAACAAAAAAATTGCTAAAGATGAAATAATTCTTATTATGCCTTTAAAAACTGATCCAGAAACAGGATATTTTTCATTAATAAGAGATGTAGAAATTAATAATAGATTTAATGTTCTTTGGGTGTCAGGAAAGATGAAAGGAATTGACCCAGTCAATCCAGCACAATCAAGTAGTATTGTAAGTAGAATTGCATTTGAACTAAGAGGAAATGAATTAATTCAAATTAGTAAAAAGGATAATATTAAAGATGTTGTTATGGCTTGTCAAACACAAAACCATATATTCTATCTTTATAATGATCATTTAGAATGTTATTCTCTTATTCATGATCAAAGATGTGAAGAACAATTAGAAGGAGGGGCTATCACTATGTGTGCTGATATTACTTCAGAAGAAGAAACTTTATTTGTGGCAACAGAATTTTGTTTGTATCAATTTACTGTCCCATTAAATTATGGTAAAGAAGATGAACCATTTACTAAGAAATTAATAAAAGATATTGTAGATGAAAATAAATTATATAGAACATTATTTAAACAATTAAATGAAGAATCACAGATAAAAGGAAAGAAAATATCATGTGCTGTATTGTATTGTTGGTGTGTATCATTATTATTAGAAAAATTAAATAATACAGAGAAAGTAAACAATGTATTTAATCAAATGAAAGTATTATTTAGTAAAGAATTTGATGGTGTTGATAAAATTAATACCCAAATTGTTAGATATATGGTACGTAGTTGTGGTTCAGAAGAAGCATATTCTACTTATTGTGACTGTACCAGAGATTATGAAGGTAAAGTAAGCTGGTTAATGGAAAGAAGTATGTACGAAGAAGCCTTCAAATTTCTTAAGAATTTATGTATGAATAAACGAGATAAAGATATTGGAGAAGAGTTAATGAAGAAATATTTTGGTATTTTATTTATTAAGTTACCACAAGAGTTCATTGAATTTTTAGAAGAAAGAGATACTAGCAACTATCCAATTTTCTATTCAACACTTCTTATTTATGAAGACCCAACTTTTTCTTTAAAATTTGCTAGTCAGTTATTGAGTAAAAAGGAAAGTGTAAAAAAACACGGAAGTGATAAAGCACTTGTTGAATTTATTTTTTGGAACTATGTTGAACCAGAAAGTACAATTGAAGATGATACAATTAAAACATTCTTAGAAGAAAAAGAGCATTGGAAATTAGTTGAATATGATAGTGCACTTAGGGCTTTGAAGAATAAAGAAATGACACGATCATCTATGTTTATGAATCTTCAAAAACAACGATTTGAAGCTGCAATTGATGACGGAATTAAATTACTTCAAAACTATAATTATGAAAACAAGATAGAACGATTTGAAGAGGACGTTTCTTTATTACTTAAATTACCATCTAAAATAAAAGGAGAAGATGAAAAACAATATTATTATCTTAAAGCCATGAATGGGTATTTATCTATAATTACATCATCTTCAGAACATGAAGCAATTAAAAGAAAGAAAATTTATGAAACAATAACAAAAAATAAAATACCAGTAGAAGATATATTACCGTTATTACCTTTAGATTGGGAACTGGGTGAGTTTAAAGGTGTTATCAAGAATGCAGTTGATATTCAAGATAAAAAACAAAAAAGATTAAATAATGAAATCGAAACATCTTGTGGCTCTAGTGCTCTTTTTGAAAATTCTACTGCTCGTCATAAGAAATACTTTAAAACAGAATTAAATTTATTGAGATGTAATTTCTGTGGTGAACCAATTTTTAATCAGTTTAAAAATGCTTCAATTGATCAGTCTAGAGGTGCTATGTTCCCGTGTTCACATTGTTTCCATATTCTTTGTATTAAAAAAGAATTTGCTCAACACCCTACTCTTTTTGCTCGTTCTGTTACTCAATCTATTATGTTTGCTAAAGATGAAGAAGAACAATTTAATTGTTATGCTACTGAATGTCCAATATGTGGAGAGCATAGTGTTAATTTGATTGAATATCCATATACTTCAACTCGTGATGACCAATACTGGAATCTTTAAATTATTTCACTCAACTACAAAAAGAATTCACTTTTTTCTTTCATAGTGGGTAATTTGATTTAATTTTAAAGTAAAAATAGAAAAAGGCAGAATAGATAGAATGTTATTTAAGATATGTTTTATTTTTGTTCATATGAACAGATAGCCAAATAAAAAATAAATGAAAATGAAATTATTAGAATTATAGAATAACAAAGAGTGGACCAGAGGGAAAGTTTCTTTTTGTCTCTTTTAACTATTTTCGGATGTTCAAATCAATGTTTTAGACATCATATGTTATTTTGGGTTATCTTTTATTTTGGACAATATACTTTAAAAATAATTTGCCATATTTAGTAACTGGAAATTTACATGAATATTCTTATTTAAACTGAAAATAAACTATGAGAAATAGTCTAAAACAAAATGTATTCATTACCACGACATCCATTTGTTGATTATCCAACATATTATGTACAAACAACATATACAAATGATAAGAATATAAATAAACAATTATTTAATTGTATTGATGAACAAGAAAAATTATTAAAAGAAAGAAAAAGAGAAGCAAAAAAATTGAAAGAACTCAAACCAGAACAACGACATCCAAAAATTCGAGTATCACATCAAGTCTTTAAAGAACTTAGAGCTATTCAAGAAGAAAAAGGATATAAGTCTTTTGGAGAAGTTGTTAGAAAATTATTAAATCGATATGGAGAAGATATCAAAATATCAACATCATCTTCATTACCAAGTTGTAGTTAATTTATTTTTATGTTTCATTTAACAAAAACTTACTTTTTTGTTTTAGTTTTTCAAACCCTTGAAAAGAACTTATTTTTCAAATAAAAAAATATGGAGGAAATCATAAGAGACTTTTTTAAAGGAAGAAACATTCAAAACAATCAACAGGCCATCAACAACTTCATTAGTTCTGGTGATGGACTAAATTGGGCAATGAATAATATTAAAAATGAAGACAAAGTATTTTCTTGGTTTAGTTTGACTGTGATTGATCATTGGGTCTGTATGAAACCACAACAAATACCATTAGAACAAATGCAAAATAAATTGTTAGAGACATTAGAATATTATTATTCAATAGGAAGTAGGGAAGCGTCAAATAAAATTGCAGTACTATTATGTGCTGTTAGTAGATGGACATTTAATGGGAAAACTATATGTTCAGATATTGCTAATTTAATTCATAATGAAGCAACAACTGGAATAGCTATTTTATTATACTCATTTATTGCTGAAGAATATAGAACTGTTGCTAAAAAATATCATGTTCCTAGTAAACGTATTCAATGGATTAAAACTACGTTTGAACAAGAGGCCAATGATGTAGTAAAGATTTTGGTGAATTTAGTTATTCAAAATAGAGTAGATGCATTAGTTTCATTAAGTAAATATGTTGGATGGGTTTCTACAGATACTTTAATAGCATCTAATTTCTTTGTTGTTTTAGAGAAAACAATTGTAACACCATCAATGATAAAGCCATCATTGGATTGTCTCACAGAATACCTTCAAACAAATAAAATACCATCAAATCCACAATTTCATATATCAGTTATGGCACTAACACTAAATCTTTTAAAACAACCTGATGTTCCAGCACAACCAGCTTTATATCTTTTAATGAAAACGTTTTCTGTGTGTGTTCCAAGAATTCCATTTGATGACTCTTTATTAGAAATACCAAGAACATTAAATAGTTTTATTGCTTCACATACAAATGATTTTACAACTGTTTCTATGTGGTTTGAAGCATGGGGAGCACTTTTTGATTCATGTATTGCAGATTCTTTATGTGTTGCAGATGAATTTGGTCCAATAGCACAAGAATGTTGTAAAACAATATTGCCATTATTATTTTGTTCGACATATAATCAGATTGAATTGTTGGATACTTCTAAAGTAGGAGATGAACAAAGTGAATTTGAAGTTTTTATATTTAGTGCATATCAAGTTTTAATGAGTCTAATTGATTTTCAAGGGCAATACGTTCTTCCATTGATATTAGAAGCAATGAATCATTCATTTGAAATAATAATGAGTAAACAACCACAGTTATATACAGAAGGTGATGTATGTGATATTGCAACTACATGTAACTTATTTTTAGAAATACACTCTAATCTAATTTATAAAATAGAGAACTTAGAACAGCTTCAAAGTATGTACTCACCATTGTTTAAAATATTAAATATCCTTCCTCAAATAACTAATGATGATGCAAATACTGTTGCAATTAAATTAAATTCAGCAATAAGAACTCTTTTCTCGTGCTTACATGAATATGAATCACAAATAACCAATCAATATATTAACCAATTAATAATTCAATTTATTCAAATAGCAACAGCGTGTAGTAATATTGAAGTATCAAGTAAAGTAATAGATTTATTATTTGAATTAATTCTTGCATGTAGACCTGAGGTATATCAAGTTCCAATTGTTCAAGAAATATTAAGGAATAGTACATCATTTGTTAATAAGTTCCCTATGGTATTAAGAAAGTACGTCATATCTGGAATAAGTGATATTATAGTATTACCTATGCCTGATAGCATTTTTAAACAAGCCAGTTATGAACAAAATGCAAATGGATATAAACTTCTTATTGAAGAAAATGTTATTCAACCAATAGTACAATGTTTCCAAACAAATACATTTAATAATTATCGAGACCTTTGTAAAACAATTCAAATAATTGTTAAAAATAAAGAAGATCTCAATAACTTAAATAAACAAATGATTTTATTACCATTAAATCCTTTAATGAATGATATTTTACCAAAAACACTTCCTGTTATGAATATAGAATTATTGCATTATACATTAACATTATATTATAATATATTAATTCAATTACATAGTGCTATGGATGAACAAAGTGTAGGTAATATTATTGAAATATTATTTAAAATATTTGATGGTAAAATTTCAATGATAATTGAGGAAAATGAAAGACACAGCAATTCATCATTATGTTTATTTATTAAAATATTATCTTTCTTTGTTAAAGAATGGAGGTATAGAAATAAAAATAAATCAAATACATTATATGTTTCTATCCTTATGAAATCTTATTCATTAATAACAGTTGATATGGTAAATAATATGAACACAAAAACAATTGGTAATGCAATTTTTAGAGAAGGGTATTTATTATTTTTCCGTATTTCTGACGTTTATTTTGAAGAATTATCAAAGAACTATCAATTCTTTGGAGTGATAAATCAAATGATATTACAAGGATTTTCATTATCAGATATTGAATTAGTGAAGTTGATAATAGAAAATGTTCTTGAATTAAATATGAATAAGAAATTATTTATTCATCCTACATTTAAAGCTAATACTATCACTTTTTGTATTCAATTATTAAATATTTTAATTAAAAATGAACATTCACAAGAAGAAACTATTGATTTATTATATAATATTCTTGATGCTGATGTTCCTTCTTTATTACAATCATTTAATATTGTTCTTCATTCATTCTTCCAACAAAATCCACAACTAACTGAACAACAGAAAAATGATACTATGCAATTATTTACTAAAGCAATAGATTTACCGACATTCTCCTTTGCAATTCAACAGTTCGTAAATGATATGAATTGTTACTTTAATTGAATTTTAGACAATACATTTACCTTTAATAAATAAAATAAACTTATAAACATAAAAGAATATTATCAATTAGAGAATAAATATGAATAAAATAATTGATATAAATGATAACCATGCAAATAAAAAACAACCAACTACTTTTGTTATTATAACTATTGCAGGAATAGAACGATCTAATTGATCTAGTTGATTCATTATAATATCCACATGTGTGAAAACATCATCTACAACTAAAGTTAAATTTTCACATACTGAATGAAATTTATCAAACCTCATTCCAATAATATCTACTGCTTGTCCTAAAGCAGCACCTGCAATAGAAGCTTTGTCCATTTGAACTTGCATTTGAGATAATTGAGAAGGAACTTGTTGTAAAATATCATTCATAGTATTTAAATTCTTCACAAAGGTCAAATTAAAATTTATATGAAATTTATGTAAGAAGTCAGCAATTCCATTAACAAAATCAGTCATCCCTGAAATGGTTGAGTCTGTAAGATTTAATATTGGATCAATTTGGTTATCAATAATTACACTTCCAAAAGTAAGGGTCTTGTTAAACTCTTCAAATCCAAATTGGAAGAAAACGTCTCCACGAATAACCGTTTTTGATAACATTTGAATATCTTTTATTGTTGGGTAAACTACATGTGCGTCTGTTATTATTGAATTAATTGCTTGAGGAATAGGTAAGTACCATTTTTGAATGATAGGATTTAATGGAAATAATGCTAATACTATACTTAAGATAAAGAAAATAATACCAGAAAAAGTAAAACAACCAAGAGCACTAAATCTAATAACTTTAGAAGTACATCCTGGTGATTGAGGTAATGATGAATTTTCACTAAACATTGAAATATGACAGTGAAGACTTAGATCAACAAAAATATTTTGAATAGAAAAGACTACTGTCAAAATGTCACAAGAGAAAGTCCAAAAATTCCCTTTTCTTGTCTCAATAAAAAAAGTTTAGGGTTCATAGTTTTGTGTTATTTAAATTAGTGGGATTAAATAAAACTTAAATATAATGAACTTATAAATATAAAATGAACTTATTTCAGAATGAATCTATTGTTATTCAATTTATTGAAACAGTTATTGATAGATATAAACAAGGAAACCAAAAAGATAAAGTATTATTTATTGGAGAAATTATTTCTATAGTATTGAGTTTATTTTATTTAATATATGCTATTTTATTACCAAATCTTCACGACTTATATTATCATGATTTTTATTTTAATGAATGTGTATTTATTATTGTTGCAACAATAACTGGTTTAATATTTGCTAGTATTCGATTAATTGCAACATCATTAGATAATAAAATGTTAGGAATTAAATGTAGTTTTATTCCAATTATTCTTTACTTAATGGTAGCATTATTATCAATCAATTCTCAGCGATATATAACTAATCATGGATTAATATCACCAAATAATTTAGTTCAAGTTGAATTTAAACATCATTGTTGTGGGTGGTTAGCATCAAATGTTGATAATTGTGGTGCTATTCCAAAAACAAATACAACGTGTTTTGAAAGATTAGTTCATCCATTAAATTCATTTTTTAAACACAATGCAATACGATGTAGTTTTCTATGTATTTTTGAAATGGTAATTGCATTATGTATGTATTTTTTTACTAAAGATGATTTTATTGAAAGCCAATATGATTGGATCGATCATGAAAGTTAAAAATTCAATTGAATTATTTAGTGCATTCTTTATACTCTGCTTCTGTCAAATGAGATAAAGCACATAAAAGACCTTTTTTACATTTACCATCACAAGTATTATAACTTGAATCTTTGAAGTATTGCATAAATGTTCCCCACAAAGCATTGTCATTCTGTAATTTATTATAAAATTCTTTTAATCCTTCAGTGCTCATATCATTTATTCCATAAGTTTCTTTAAAACTATGTTCTTTCTTCCATGGATATCCTGAAGAACCAGCATTACATTCATTGATATCTAAAACATATGTAGTATAATCTTTAACTGATGCCCGATCAAATTCAACTAATCTAAATTTTGGATTAATTTTACCCCAAGTTGTAACAGCAGGATTAAGAATGACATGATAAAATGGATTCTCGCTATTAGGAAGAATTCTGAATGATTGGTAATGTGAATGACCAGCAAAATGGGTAATAACGATATCACTATATTGTTTCATTAATGAAGTAAAATCATTATTAAATGCTGGCTCTAAATCAAATTGACCACTTGACTTTAATCCAATTCCTTCATGTGAAATAATAATAACTTTTTCACCATTAGTTTTTGATTGTTTTAGTGTTGTATTAAACCATGCAACCATATCTCCTGGATCCTGTTCATTATACTTCTTTGAATGAATACTAAATTTATCAACATAAACAAGATTTAAAGCAATTAAACGAATTCCTGAATCAATCAACTCAGAATAATATCCTCCTTTTTTAAATGTTTCTTGTGCTTGAGAAGATAACCAACCTTTAAATTGTTCATTCATAAATTCTAACATCCACTGGCATCTAGGTGGATATTCCCATTCACTAGAAAGGAAGTAATCATGATTTCCTGGTACTGGATAAACATTAAATCCAGGAAGTTTTTTCTTGAATTGATCAGCCATCATTTTTATCCTATTTTGATTAATAGAATTTGATTGATTTAAGACATCTCCAGGAACAACGTCCATTAACCAGAACACAGTATTACTTTCAGACTTGTGTTCTCGAATATAATCTAATGATGAAGTAACTGTGTCTAAAGGAGGATAACAATTAAAATTACCACACCTTCCAGCAACGTTGTCTTCAGTGTGTTTTCTTGGAACTGAGTCTGAATGACAACAATCAACAGTATAACATTTGGCTGCACTACCTTCAGTATATAAATCATCAAAGTGAGTGTCAGTAACAATCCAAGCCTTCTTTCCAAGAGTTAGACTAACTAAAACAAAAACTAAAAAGGCATTCATCCTCATAAGGGAGTTGGGGTTATTTAAATTTTTAGTTCTAGTGATGTTATATCTTATTTTGTTTTTTGTGAGTCAAGTCAATCTTTCTCTTTCTCATCTTATGAAAGTTTTTTCTACTACTTTGAACTTCAAAAAATGGTATATCTTAAAGTAATTATTATTACTCAAAAACTATTCTTTAATAATTAATTCGTATTTTTAAAAAAAATATAATTGTTTCTTCTTTGGTTTACTAAAAATAACAATTATTTATTGCCACGTACAATAACAAAACATTATTTTTCCTTTTTTATTAGAAGAAACAACCTTTTCTTCTTCTTTTAATTAAACCCTGAGCCCTTAGTTTTATTGTTTGTTTAACTCACTTAATAGTTAATAAATTAATGAATTAAACAAATACCATCCTACTATTTCTTTTTTCTTACTTAATTACTATTTTCAATTTTATTTATTAGTTCTAAGAACAAAAATTATGTGTTATACTTTTTTTTATTTAAGTTATAACAAGCATTATAATTTTTATACTAACTTTATAGAAGAATAGTATTGATTTGAACAAAAGTAGTCCATCAATACATTAATAATGACAGATGTTTGTAACACTTAATGAAGAATAATAGCAATAGTAATACAATTAATTTTACAGTTTATAGTTTAAGATTATCACTATTATTTTTATAAATAAAACAAAACATAAATTAATTCTAATAAATCATAAAGAATCTAAATTTTTAAGATTTGTGTTTTTAATTATATTTTATTTAATTATCATAGTTTTATTAAAAAATTTTCTATACTATAAATTGTATTTTCCATACTACTTTATAATTTGTTTACATGTTAGAGAGACGCAACAAAAAAAGATTCAATTTCATCTAACCCATCAATGTGTTTCAAAACTATTCTATAGACAACTGTTTTATTTCTAAATAATGAAATGACAAATATTTAACAATTAATCTATAATAAAAAAGATAATTATTAAAATACTTTTAATACCTTAAGCTAGAAGATTATAAATTATTCTAAATATTACAACTAATGAATTTCTATGAGCAAAAATACTATTTTCAGTTCTAATATTCAAAATTTCTTCTACTTCTATAAAAATGTTTACTAATATAATTAGTTTTAACTGAGTAATTTTACAACTAACTTTAATTTTTTAAGTTTTTGTATCTATTAATGACTGACAACACTTTTGAATCGAGCAATGAAGAAATTATAATAATAAATAGAGTTATTCTTTAATCTCTAACAATACTAAACTAATAAAATAATATAAAAGTTATTAGTACAAATGAAATGGACAATCAGCCGTACTGTAGTTACATAGACAATAACATCCTTTCTGAAAATTTGGTTGTTTAACATTTATTAGTTAGATTGATTAATGGTAATATAAAAATATATTTATAGAAGAATGTTATAATTAGATTTTATTTTAATAAGAATCAAATATATATTACGACTTTGAATTTTAATTTATTAGGCTCATTCTTTTTCATCTAAACGAAATATGTGTATGGGTAGGTGGTGTAGATTCTATACCTTATTGTTGGTAAGATGTTTTTCCTTTTTAAGAAAAGGAAAAGATAAAAACTTTAAAAAAGATTCACTGAAAAAGAAAAATTGAATGACTATAAAAATAGAATCGCTATAAAAACCCTAAATCTCAAAAAAAGGAAAAACAAAATTTACTCATGTTTAGCCATAAACAAATGAGTTATCAACAGCGTTCAATACCAATGCCTATTAATCCTGCACATGAATTTTATGACACTGTAATTGAGAAAGTAATGAGCAGAATGGAAGAACGATTAAAAGCACATGGTTTTGATGTTGAACAAATTGATACATTCAAAAGAGTTTGTTTTTTAATTCAAAGGGAAAGAAGAATATTTAAAGATAATATAGTTATGGAAAAGTCAATGTGAAGAACTTGAAAATCAGAGCGATGATGAAACAGAAGAAGCTCAATATCAACAACCATTAGACCAATACGGATCTAATGACTTATACACACAACATGTTCACACCTTACAAAATCAGCAATTTTCAATTGCACATCCTCAACATAGTTTTCCACTTCTTTCAGGTGATAGAGCAACAAATGATCCTTACCATAGTTCTTTTGTTCAACAAGAAGAAAAACCAATAATGCCTATGACCATTCCAGAAACAATTATTCAACATCCAGTAGCAACTATCCCACCTGTAATTGAAAATGCTGAAAGTGTTGGTGACGATGACGACAGTGGTTCATTGTCAGATGATGAAAGTTCTGAAGAACAAGAAAATGACTCAGTAATGATTTGCCTGTTTACATCAGTTAAACATTCACACTCTAGACATAGGTGTGATTTCATCAATTGTGTATTAAGATTTAGACACCGAGAATATTTCTTTACTAAGTGTTTAGGTGAATTCCAATCAGCATGAACAAATTGATTTTTTTTTTACTGATGACTTATCATTTTAATAATCTAAAAACAAGAAAACAGAACAAGAACTTTTAAAAAGTAAATAATGGATTTATTCCATACGAACATGCTGTCCGTGATCACTCATTGGAGTTGTTCTCATCTTTTCTGTCTTATTAATTGGGACTTTTCCAAGAAGAGAAGTATCAGAATTGATCATTTGATTATCAAGATACTTTTCATCTTCCTCAGATGCATTTTGGTGATACCCAATCTTTCTTGATAAGTTATGATATGGATAATCCTCTGGGGTTATGACAAGTCTTCTGTAAGGTTCTCCAAGTAATTCTACCATCTCTTGGAAAGTTTTATTGATATTACTTCCTTTCTTATCAAATCCAAAGAAAATAAGTTGGATATCGTCTCGAAGGATGAAGGTCTTATTTTGGTTAATCCATTGTCTCATTGGACCAACTAAGTGTTTCCCAACCCATTCGCCACCAATAAAAATTTCATTATATGGTGAGAAGTCAATCAGATCAAAAACAACAGGTAATTTACTAAATGTTTTTCTACCGTCTTGTCTTAGTCGTAGTTTTTTAATTCTCTGAGTTGTCTTTACTTCATAGATATCCCCTTTGACATCAAGAGCAAGTTTATGAGCTATTTCTCCTATAACAGAATCACAGTTTGAATAATAAACAACTAGTGGTTTTCGTTCCATTTTGAGTTAATGTTTTTCTCTGTAGATAACTTCACTCAAATAATCATGTCTTTTCATCTCATTCTAACCTTTTCTTTTCGATAAAATAAAAAGATTATTTTTAGTTAATTTTGATATAAGTTTTAAGATATTTTGGTTTTAATGAGTATAAGAGATTACTGAAAATTTTATCAACAAACAGTTTTGGAAAGTGTTAACTGAAAAGAAGAAAAATGAAGTAATTAAAAGAAAACTTATACCTACTATAATAGATCATCTTAACATTTTTCTACTCTCTCTAACTCCTCTAATAGTAACCTGAAACCAGTACAGCCCAGAAAACCATTAAATAATTAACAAGAATATTAAAGATGAATCATTTTTTATAAAACCATGTCAAGGACTTTGCTTAGATATAATAAATAAAGAACTGATAAAAGAAATAACTCTTTAATGAGAACAAAAATAAATTTATCATGTACTTAATTTATTCTATACAATTATTTTGAGTTTTTTTCTTCATTATTAATAACGAGTTTTATTCTTACATTATTGAAGTTGCTTCTTATTATTTTGTGTATGTTCATATTTTTATAAAAAATAATAATTTGTTTTGTTATTTTCTAAATGTCTTTTACTTTAAATAAAACGAAACAACACACTAACTTAATACTTATTCTATTGGAAATAAATGTGGAAAACGTTTAAGGAGTTGAATGTTAACATCTTTATTGTAAGTATCAAAATAAAGTTTTTCAACTGAAGGGTTTAAATGAGGAATAATAGAAGTGTTAGACTCTAGATAAACTTCTTTCAATGGAACCTCTTCTAAATTATTAATAATAATATTGTAACAAGATTTAATGAGTAATTTCTTTAATGTAGTTGGTAAAATAAATTTATTATCTGAGGTTTCAATCCAAAGCTCATTTAAATCTTTCCATGAACGTAGGTCTATGACCACAGGAATAACACCATTTACAGAATATTGAGAAATAAGTATAACTTTTTTTATTTTATTTGGTATTAGCATAAAGTCATTAATTGTTAGTGGTGTGCAAATTAATTCATCAACACTTTCAATAACATTTTGTAATTGACCTCCAACTTTTTGACACATAGAATAATGATAATATGACTCATTTAAACTAACTTCATTTACTATATCTACACACTTTATTCTTTTAATATTTTTAGCTTCAGAAAGAGAAATCATTTTATCGCTCATACAAGAAATACAAAATTGAGTTACTGAAGAAGGAACATCGATCTGTGTTTTTATAACACATTGTGTAAATGATAACTTTTTTAGTTGGTTCATTTTAGGTAAATTGTTATTAATCGTAACTAAATTAAAACAAAGACTAGTAAGATTCTTAAAGTAAGAAATATCTATATTTGATTTAAACAAATCCAATTCTTTTAATTCATTATCAACTGGGATTTTGGGTATGTTAAATGAACATTGATCCATTTTTAATTTTGTGCAATGAACTGGTAAAGAAGAAAGAGAAGTGCAATTTATTAAAATAAATTCTTGTAAATCAGTTAGCTGTTCTATATGAAGTACTTCACTTTCTTTTAATGTTATATGATTTACTTCTTTTGGAAGGTTTAATGCATCCACTTTACATTTATCAAATGATAGACTTCTTAGAAAGTCAAATTTTTTCAAGTTTATTTCATGTAATTTAGTAACACTAATTGTTGGGATATATCTCTCCTTTAATAATTCTTCAAATTGATAATTTTGTTGGTACGTCCAATTATTATTGGTGATTACAACTTTGGGATCAAGTCCTTTTATCCAAGAATTACAACAAATTTTAATATCTCGTACACATCTAGTACTAATATCAAGTACCTTTCTGATTTGATTTAAGTCATTTAAGTCAACAACAAATAATCGAATATTATATTCATTTAATGTTTGAATGAATGATTCTTCAAAAAATTTTAACATCTTCAAATGAACTAATTCAAATCTATGGTTTTTATTAGTAAAGAATTGTTCAAGATAATTAGTTGTTGTTGGTACAGAGCAATGAGTTCTTAATGAAATTTTAGTTAACAAAGGGAATTGTTCCAAATCTATAGGAGAATCATATGTAAATAATCTTAACTCTACTATTTTTTCTTTTAGTGGCAATAAACAACTAATCTGTTCATCATCAATTTCTTTTTGTAAATAAATTCGTTTAACTGAAGTTGGTATACAACGCAGAATTAGTGGTGAAAAAAAAGTTAGTTTTACTGTTTCAAGAAAGGGAAAGAATTGAAGTTCTTTTGTAAATGAATAACCGACTGATGTCATTTCTTCGGGATTGTTAATCATGTTTTGAGGTTTTAATCCTGGATTTATTCTTAACATTTTAACTGCATCAAAACATTTAGAATTGACCATTTGAAATTGGCAAAGTGTTTCTAATGTCTCAAGATATAAAATAACATTAGCTAAAAACATCTTTTCGAGTGTTTTTGTCATGAACTTACTCTTTAATAATTTAGTTTGAAAAGTAAAAGGTTTTAAAAAAGAAAACTATTGAGGGTTTCTTTTATTTATAGATATGTATTGAATTTAAAGATCTTTTTGGATGTTGACTTTTTGGAATAAGTAAAAATGGAAAACTTGGAATAAAAATAAACAGATCTGATTTGGGAAAATGACAGAGAGTAAAGAAAATCCAGAAATCGGACATATTGACAGTACAATTCACTATAACATAAAAGGAAATGAGTTAATAGATATTATCGAACATAGAAATACTGAAAAGTATCAAAGATTTGGTGGAGTTCATGGTCTATGTGAATTATTAAATGTAGATGAAAAGAAAGGAATAACACTGAGCTCCATTACAAAAAGAGTTCAACAATTTGGAAACAATTTATTACCTCCTGCTGAACGACAAAGTTTCTTTGAAATATGGCAAGATGCACTTGGAGATCAAACATTGCTAATTCTTATTGCATCTGCAATAGTTTCTCTTGTATTGGCTTTTATTGTACCACATGCTAAAAAAGAGTGTTCAAGCGGTATTGATACAGAACCACCAGATTACTATGAAGGAATTGCAATACTGGTTGCAGTTTTTGCGGTTAGTTTAATTGGTGCATGGAATGACTATTCAAAACAAAGTAAGTTTATTGAAATTGCTTCAAAAGAAACTGACTGTTCTGTTAAAATAGTTAGAGATGGTGTTCCAATGGAATCGACATCATCTCAATTAGTTGTTGGAGATATTGTTTATTTGTCTGTTGGAGATGTATTACCTGCTGATGGTATTTATTTAAAAGGAAATGGACTTAGAATTGATGAATCAGAAATGACTGGGGAATCTGTTTCTGTAAAAAAGTCAGAAAAGAATTTTGTTTGTTTATCAGGATGTACTGTTACTGATGGAAATGGTACAATGGTTGTTGTTGCTGTAGGACAAAACTCACAATGGGGAAAGTTAAAAGGATATGTTAATAAAGACAAACAAAGGCCTACTCCATTACAAGAACGATTAGATGAATTGGCTGAAAACATTGGTAAAATGGGTATGTTTTGTGCTGCTGTTGTATTTATTGTATTAACGTTATGGTGGTTTTATAAAGCACTCACATTTACTGGATATGTTCAACCTGATGATCATTGTAAATTATGTTCTCCAGCAGAAACAAACAATTGTGTTGCTGTTAAATTTAATTGGTGGAGAATCACTGATTTAGTTGATTATTTTATTATTGCTGTTACTATTGTTGTTGTTGCAGTACCTGAAGGACTTCCATTAGCAGTTACTGTATCTTTAGCTTATTCAATGAAACAGATGATGGCAGACAATAATTTAGTAAGACATTTAAAAGCGTGTGAGACAATGTCAAATGCCACTTGTATTTGTTGTGATAAAACAGGAACTTTAACTGCGAATAGAATGAATGTAACTAGTCTTTGGACTGGAAATGAAGTTATGGAAATTGATCAAACTAATCAAATACCAATAACAGGAGAACTTCTTCATCATTTAAGTGTCAATATTGGTATTAATACATCATTATCATCTAATATTACATCATCTAATCAAGCCATTGGAAATGAAACTGATTGTGCTTTATTATTATTTTTAAAAAAGATAGGAATCTCACCATCACTAATAAGAAGTACTAATGTTATTTCAAGGCAATGGGTATTCAATTCAGAAAATAAAAGAATGGACACAGTTAGTGATCATTGTATTTATTCAAAAGGAGCACCAGAAATCATTATTGGAGAAAGTACACATTATCTAAATCAAAATGGAGAAGAAGCTGAATTTTATGAAGATCAAAAAGATCAAATTAATAAAATTATTGACCAATGGGAAAATAAAGGAAAACGAGTTATTGCTCTAAGTTATAAAAAAATGGAAGAAAAAGAGTTTCAAGAATGGAACAACACACAAAGTAATGAAAGAATTAATATCAAAAACACTTGTTTAATTGCTGTAGTTGGTATTAGTGATCCTGTAAGATTAGAAGTACCTCATGCAATTGATAATTGTAAAAATGCAGGAATTAGTGTTAGAATGGTAACAGGCGATCATGTAAAAACAGCCTTAAGTATTGCTAAGGAGTGTGGTATTGTAGGTGAATGTCAAATTATTGATAAAGATTATAATTGTTCTGGAAATATTGATATTGCTATGATGGGAAAAGACTTTTCAATATTAAGTGATGAAGAAATTGATAGAATTTTGCCAAGACTCAAAATATTAGCAAGGTGTTCTCCACAAGATAAACAAAGATTAGTCGAACGATTACTTATCGCAGGTGAAGTGGTTGCTGTTACAGGAGATGGCACTAATGATGTTCCTGCTTTTAAAGAAGCTGATGTTGCTCTTGCTATGGGATTAAGAGGTACTGATGTAGCAAAACAAGCAGCTGACATTGTTATTTTAGATGACAATTTTAATTCTATTGTTAAAGCTGTTATTTGGGGAAGATGTGTTTATGACAATATTAGAAAATTTATTCAATTTCAAGTTACTGTTAATATAGTTGCACTTGCACTTTGTGTTATTGGGTCAATTTGTCAGATGGGTTCTCCATTAAATTCAATGCAAATGTTATGGGTTAATTTAATTATGGACACATTAGCTGCATTAGCACTTGGGACTGAAAAACCTACAATAGACTTATTAAAACGAAAACCATTTAAAAGAACAGACAGTCTGTTGTCAAAACAAATGTTAATTAAGATTGCAATACAAGTTATTTATCAGTTGGGAATATTATTAATTATCTTATTCTTTGGATCTACATTTAAATTTATTTCTGCACCTTGTGGGTACATTAGTACTATTGAAGATTATCCAGGAAAAGAGTATATTTGTTATGACAATAAAAAACATACCGTTATTGATGTTCAAGAAGACACTATAACATTACAAACTATTATTTTTAATACTTTTGTATTTTGTCAAATTTTTAATGAAGTTAATTCAAGAAGAGTAAATGGAGAAACTGATGTATTTAAAGGTATTTTTACTAATTACATCTTTATTGGAATAGAGTTACTTCAAATTATTGTTCAAACATCAATTGTTATTTTTTCTGGTGCTACATTTGGTGTGAAGCCATACCCTGGAATTAGTTTAACTCAGTGGGGAGTTTGTATTTTACTTGGACTGGTATCATTACCATTAGGGTTGTTAAATGGAATTTTCAAGGAAAAACTAGCCAATAAAACAGTCTCAGTGTTTGATGTAGATGAAGTTGAAATGAAAAATAATAAAAAGAACGATAACGACAGTTGGGAAGATGAAAAAATAAATTGTATTGAAGAAAAAAATGATTTTGATAAAACATTTGAAACAAATTCTGATGATATTTCTTTGACTATGAATTAAATCGCATTTTTATTTTTTGTTTTTAGTATTTTTGTTATAAAAATCAATAATTTTACTATCTACATTTATTATTTTTATCATAAAAAATAAAAATATTTTTATTTCATTAGTTTTTTTTTAAATACTTAAAAAAAAAAATAAATTACTTTTATTATAAATTTATCAATTAAGATAATAATTAGAATTAAAAATTAAAATAAACTAATTATAATTAACTATAATAATAATGGTTTTTATAAATCAAAAAATTGTAAATAAATTAAAAAATAAAGTTTTAATTAAATTAGAATATCTTTAATATATTTTTGATAATATTAATAGATTTTACAAACAATTTATATAAATATTTGTAATAAATGTATTAAAAAGGTTATAACAATCAATTAATTGTTTAGACCATTATCATTTTTCTTTTTTACTATTAGTTGGTCTACTTTCTTTATGACACTTATTTTCTTTTAATTCTCTTGAACAGAAAAATA